TCCTATTGATTTTCATCGATTTCCGATAATTACTGCCAGAGTTATGGCCCTTGATCACTTTGAAAAATCTTGTGGATGCTCTATAGGCTAAAGTTAATATCCGATTGACTTTAAATTTATACACAGTGAGACGAAGAAGTCTATTCATTTTCAGCGATTTTCGATAATCCTGCCAGAGTTATGGCCCTTGATCACCTCAAAAAATCTTGTGGCCGCTCTAAAGGCCAAAGTTAATATCCGATTGACTTTAAATTTATACACAGTGTTTACAGTCAGAAGATGAAGAAGCGTTTGATTTCCGATAATTACTGCCAGATGTTATGGCCCTTGATCACTTCAAAAAATCTTGTGGATGCTCTAGAGGCTAAAGTTAATATCCGATTGACTTCAAATTTATACACAGTATTTGAGGTCATGAGACAAAGAATCCTATTGATTTTCAGCAATTTCCGATAATTACTGCCAAAGTTATGGCCCTTGATCACTTTGAAAAAACTTGTTGACTGCCCGGACGATTTAGCTGCTGTGGGCGTATGTTTCGTTGCCTGGCGCTGGCAACCTTTATTCTTATATCGAATTCCAACTGAAGAGTGATCTTTAATGTGGACACCAATTTATAGATGGGTCCTCAGTTGATCGGCCTATCCGAACGATTAGACAGCTATTCTTGTCAGGGTCTCCGTTCAATACCACTATAAGGTGAAACAACGCTGGAAAATGCTGACATTTATGCGTATTTATTGTGAGTAACATTGCACCCGGGCAAAAAAAAAAGGAAAATAAAGGGAAATAACTGAGACTTATATTGCTGTAATCAAATTGACTCCCCAGGGAGTGCCAGAGGTTTAAAATACGGATCATTTTATTACTTTATTTTAAAACTTGAAAGATATTTCTGTAGTTCAAAGAGCTAGAACAAAGTCACCTGGCTGGGACATCAGGTGTTTCCATATATCAGACAAAATCAAAACCATGCTATGGACAAAATTGCGCAAACATGAAACCCCCAAAATGTCAGAAACTGTTCGAATATAACATATTGAATTGGTCTTTATATCGGAGATTTACTTTTCCCCTACCAGGTTACGACATTTACAAGGTTCAGTCTAATATCCCCAGACCACTTGAATTAGGTTAAAAGGTGAATTATCAATATAATTAACGGCGATCGCTTTATGATCTGGATATCTGTCTACGTTTAAAACCCAGAAGCATCAGAAAATGATTAGAAAATAGTTGAAAATATCGAACAATAAACTGAGATAACTTGTAATGAATCTTATATTTTTGGAATCGGATTGATCTCAGCTATTCGAATATTTAGATCAAGTTTGTAAGTTTTAAAAATTAACATAAAAAAAAATGTCGTGCAATCAACCTTCGAAAACAGGAAACCAATTCAGGAAACGGCGGCTTATTCCGAGTATTTCCAAGCCGTTAATGCAGATTTTTCTAAAAACATTGTTTAAGTTAAATAATCAGGTCTACTTTTATTCCAAATTTCATGAAAATCGTGCTAATATTAAAGAAGTTTTCATATTCGTTTTTACTTCCGAAATAATATGTCAATGACGTAATTTTTTAAGTTCGAAAATAGCAGATTTAAAGTAAATGTTTCAAAGTACCCAAAGAAATATGAATATGTAAAATAGGTCAAATATTTCCAAAGTTACAGCTATGTAGGTTAATTCTTTCGTCATTAACATTTGGTGATTTCGGATTTGTAAAGCGTTTCGAAATATGTATTCGAAAGTCAGCATCCATTCTGGGAGACAGGTTTAAGATTTAGAAAGATCCAAAGATTAAATTCTTGGATATAAGCTTGACATAATCTTAAGAAAGAAATTGCTCTGTCAACAACTTTGTCGGCACGAAAAACGTCAAAGTCGAAATTTTGAAATACCAAAAATTTGTGCCTGATCCGGGCTATCCAGAAATGTAATAATTTCGGTAATAGGAGACGGATTCTCTAAGGCACGACCTATTGTGTATGTTTTCAAGCCCATTAATGTGTATTTTTCACTATTTTTCATTTTCAATTCAAAATGGCTTCCATCATTTGCCAGAAATCAAAATTCTAAGCTCTACATTTTATCGGCTTTCCTTCTAGGATTCAGAAAATATAATTCCCTTGTCTGTAAGTAAAATATCAAAAAAGTCTTAAGGACATTTCACATTTCAAGATGGTGGCACTTCCGGATTGACCTACAAACTCCATTTTTTGTGTAAGAATCAGCAGTGTCATAGCTAGTAGAGAAAAAATAAATCAAGGTAATCTGACCTATATTTTGTCAATTTTTTGAAAAATTTGATCCTTTATTTCTCCAAGGGAAGATAAGTTAGAAAATTTCTAATGACATCTTTCACGTCGCATCAGTAAGATCCACTTACATTCCAAAATTCAACAAAATCGTGCAAATAATCCACAAAGTTACGACTATGCATTGTCAATTTTTGCGTTCGTAAATTTTGGTTCGTAAATTTTGGTTCGTAAAACGTTTTGAAAATATATTTAATCAACGTTCGCACCCCATTTTTTTTTTGGGGGGGGGGGGTGTCAAAGTTTCAGAAAGATCCTATGGTAAGGTGACCCACCATAAATAAATATCTCCATATATCTCGACAATTACGCCACAATATTTATATATATGCCAAGCCTCAAATCAGTTTCACACAATTATAGTCACTAAATAAACGATCATGTTGTACTTAATAAGCTATGACCATTAATCATGTTTAAAATACAGATGTGACGTCACCCTTTGATGTTGGTGTACCATTATTTCAAATAATCGTACGGGCAACTTGCCAATAGTACTTTATTCATACCAGTGAGATATTGGACTAGTGTGACGTAAAAGCTCGTGCGGAGTGTCAGTATTTTAAGATGTTTAATGGTCTCGAGCTTACGACATTGCGTAATATATTGTAAAAACATTCGGGCCTACGGCCCTCATGTTGTTACAATATATTACTTAATGTCTCGCTCTCGACCATTAAACAATACATAAATAATAGACTGAAAACTGGTTCCAAGAGTCGTCCATAACATCCAGACACTTTTGAGTAAAAGATAGGTTACGTGCCCTTGTTTTGAAATTAGTCTCACTTAACCAGTCTATCGACCATTCTACGTCTGATTGACAGGTCGGGATAATCAAGACTACTTTTTTACGAAACATAACAGAAAGCTAGAACAAGAAATTGAATTTAGAAATAAGCACGTTAGGTAGCTCAACAATCGTTTTAAGAAGCTTGTAAAAGTAAAATGAAACTACTGCTAGTATCATGTTCCTGTCTAACCCGAGTGCTTCAGAGATATTATTTGTACTAAACCAAAAGATGCCGATCTTAACGGTACAGTTAATGATAAAGCGATTTAAAAAATGAAACGAATGTAATTTCTAAATCTGCTGTAATAACCAAGAAGCTTAATTTTACTGCTATTCAAAATCGTCAACAATAAATTTTTTACGGCTGTAATAGTTGATAGTTTTGTAGAGAATTACACGTGCCATTGCTATTTATAGTATCATACTGTCAGAAAGTTGGTCTCGGCACGGCGAATGTGCACGCTTCAGTGGTAGTCTCGAACTATCAGCGGTGGACTGTATTTCTGTGAGTACATGGGTCACCCTACCTATGGTTAGATTCTGAGAAATCCGATTTGCAGAAAATACACACACACAAAAATAATAATAATCTCAACAGAAACAATAAGCTCTCATATGAAATATGAAAAGTTAATAATCTTAACAGAAACAATAAGCTTTCATATGAAATATGAAAGCTTAACAGAAACAATAAGCTTTCATTAGGGGATCACGTGGCTAAGTGGGTAAGACGCTAGCTCGCTAGCCTGGAGGTCTGGTGTTCGATCCCTGCATTGGCCGAGAAAGTTCATCCAGATTTTCCGGCGTGGTTCTCCCTTGTCAGTGATGCAGGACGGAGGGGCTGACAAGGAAAGCTGTCTAGTCGTTCGGATGGGACGGAAAACCGAGGTCCCGTGTACACATTGGCGTGCACGTAAAAGATCCCTTGGCAGTTGGAATTCGATATAAGAGTAGGCCGTAGTGCCGCTGCCCGGGCAAAATTTCCCTCATAGCACACTGTATGGCGTATGCCCGTCTTCATTAGCCCAGGTTAGGAGCAGAACAGTAGGACGTTAAACTCCATTTCATTTCATTTCATTTTTAATAATATTAATCTTAATAAAAGCAATAAGCTTTCATATGAAATATGAAAGCTTAATAATAATAATAATTTTAGTAAAAACAATAGTCTTGCAGACAAAGTCTGAAAGCCTAATGATAATTTTATTTTCAAAGGGTTGAAAATTTGTCCTGGAGACTTGTCTTACATTTTGCCCTTTATCATAGAAGTTAACCATAAAGTTTGAATATAGAAGAGAAATATTTACAAAAGAATATTAACAAAATCACAACTGAATATAATAATTACAATCACGATATAATAAAGTTGTCAAACAAAATTGTACAATTGTGTAATACCAATGTTGCGGATCCTCTAGCGGTCACAATTTTGATACGATTTTCATAAAACTTAAAGCATGTGTTTATATCACGGTGATATCGGTTCTTTTTGATATTCGCGCATATCGGACAGATATTCAGCATTCTGCAGGCTTCCATTCAGAAAACGTGATAGAGACTACAGTTTTAACAGATTGTTTAAAAATTTGCTGTGACGTGTTAGGGCTGTGAGGAGATGCACTCTCTTGATTTTCAAATTGGGTGTGAAGCATTGGGATTTGAAATGATAACCCTGTTGATTTTTAGCAATCTAGGACATTATGTTCCAGAGATCTATTTTGATAAGACTAATATTTTGAATGTAACTAATTTCAAAGACAATTTAGATGAACAAGCTGTTGTTGATTTTCCCGAAAACAAGAGTTAAGTGTAGTTTTCGGAAAGAATAACTTTTATCAACATACATTTTCCATATTAGTAGGCTATAATTTTTTTTTTTTTTTTCAGCAAAGTAAAGAGACACTGTACGACATGCACACAACTGGAATAGCCATGTTATTTAGTGCTGGTACTTTCTTATATGTTGCAACAGTTCATGTTTTACCAGAAATCTCTACAGGAAAATCACTTCATACCAGTGTAGATGGGACAATTATTGTTAGAGAACACAAAGGCTTTAAAAAAATTGAATTATTGGCTCTGGTTACAGGATCGGTAATACCGGTGGTTTTATCAGTTGGTCACAAACACTAAAACAATATTTACAAAAACAAAATGAAATAAAAGAAGAACAATTATTTAGTTTTGTTATTTATTTGAATATTGAATGAGAAGAAAAGGTTGAATTTACTTGACACTTAGCCATTTTGGGGTCACTATTTAATTTGTTGCTTTTTATACGCCCACATTTTCATGTGGACGTATATTGTCGTCGCCCCTGTCCGTCCGTCCACAATTGTTTCTGAACAGTCTACAGGTCACAATTTTTATCCGATTTCAATGAAACTTGAAATATAGGTTTATCACCCAAAGATCTCGGTTCCTTTCGATATTGGCATGTATCGGACTGTAACTTCATGGATTATGGCCCCTGATTGTACGAAATTCAATACCTCTTCATCAATTCTACACCCAAATGTCAATACAGATAGGCAATCAAAATGGCAAAAAAGAAACGAGATATGCAAAATTAATAGTGTTCTGCATCCATCTAGCCACATCAGCTACCAAACGATAATTTACTTGTTTTGTTTCAATGACACCCGATGGAGAAATCTCGATTTTCGCCCGAGTACCAATCTTTTACTGGGTTTTTTTCTCAAAATATCGGATATGTAACGATATTGAGCAAATAATTGCTAGTCTGGGTCCAATTTGTTAGGAGTGGTTACCTCCCTTATACCGTTACAAGCGTTATCATTAATATCAATCGACTTTTTTTTCAAAGAGTGAGGCCCTTTTTGGACCGTTTATGCTATATTGACCCTCTTAGATTTGCATTCACACCCTAAACCACCGTTAGGACCCTAAGTAACCGAAGTTTAAAGGGACAATAACACTCTTGCTGGCTTGAAAGCTCCAGAAAATAAATAATATCTCTATCTAAGTACCAGATGTTTAAGTGTCCTACCTGTTGTGTAAATTATCCATTACATCCAATTTTACTTGTCCAGAGGGTTCGAAAATATTTTTAAATTGAAGTTTCATTTGAAAAGGTTTACGTTAGACGTTTCAAACCATTATGTTGAATTTTTCAAAATTTTTAAATAAGGTGTGTTAAGATAAAATTTGTATCATCAATTAATTGAAATATTCTAAAATAGTACAATTTGTTGACCAGAATAAAGATTGGGACATATTATTCAGTTACAATAAGAGTGGTATTGAACCTTTAAGAAACAAATTTAGAGTAGTTTTCGTGATAAAAGCGTCTGAATAGGCCCTAAAAAGGAAAATTCTAGATTTTCAGCGTCCCATAATCTATTGCCTTACGCATCGAATTTGTATCCCTTGGGTGTCATAAGAACGTCCATTATTCGGGCTATCCAATGAGACTTTATTTGTTTAGATTCGGTGAAATTCAAAGGTGAAATCACGTTTTTGGCAAAAAATCTTCACTTTTTTGCATTTTTTTCTCAAAATATCGGATATTTTTTCGACTACTTCCGGTTTTTGGATCATTGTCGGGATAGCTTTAACAAGTTGTATAGATAATTAACTTCCTGTGCCAGAAGTGTTAGAAACATCCATTTAGTAGTTTTCGAGAAAAAGATAAATAAAAGAGCATTTTTATTAATTTCACTATTTTTCAACTTTTTTCAAAGATTGAGGCCATTTTTGGACCACCTATATTATTTCAATGCTTTTATTTTTGGATTCACACCCTAAACCACCGATAGGACTCTGATTAAGAAAAGTTTAAGAAAAATCGTTGGCGTCGTTTTCAAGAAAAGGTCGTCTCAGAATGCACCAAAACGGAAAATACTAGATTTTCCGCGTACCATAATTTATTTCCTAACCATCGAATTCTTATCATTTAGATGTCATAAGATAGTCTATTCATGGGACTATCCGACGACACTTTAATTGTTTTGGTCCGCTAATATCTGACGGAGAATTCGAGGTTTTAACAAGAGCGCCATTTTTTTTTTTCATTTTTTTACCTTTTTTTTCGTTTTTTAAACTACTTCCTGTATACGAATCATAGTCGGGTAGTTTTAACATCTGGTTTTGGAACTTGAATGGGCACAGGGCTTTATAATGATATACTAAATTAACCGATCAGATAAAATCCCTCTGAGAAATCCTATGTTCAAAAGTGCCAAAACTGCAAAAATGTCAAAATATCGAAAATTAAATTTCAATAACTGACTACATATTATACATGGTTAGAATCGCTATTAGGTCAGGTTTTTCAATTTATTACTTTTTTTTGAAAATCTGTTAAAATAAACAAATAATAGAGAATTTTCCAAAATTTCACGATTTTTCGACTTTTTTCAATTTTCAGTTCATTTTTTATCCTATTCCAGACGTCTCAAATTCTTAATGGATGATTTCATGCACAAGACTACCGAAAGGACTCTCGATAGAGAAAGTTTAAGAAAAATCCTTGGAGCAGTTTTCGAGATAAAGGCGTCCAAAAACACTCCAAATCAGAAAATACTTGATTTTCAGCGTGCCATAGTTTGTTGCCTGGTCATAGTATCCTTATAAATTTGGTATCATACGACAGTCCAATCATCATGCTACCCAACGATGCATTAATTTGTTTAATCCGTTGAAATTGGACGGAGAAATCCCGTTTTTCCCAAAAGCACCCATTTTTATACGCCCACATGGAAATGTGGTCGTATATTGCCGTTGCCACCGTCTGTCTGTCGGTCCATCGTCCACAATTTCTTGTGAACACTCTACAGACTACATTTATCAACCGATTGTTTTGAAATTGGTATATGTTGTTTGCATTAGTGAGATGAAGAAGCCTATTTAATTTCAATAACTTTCGTTAATTTCTTCTGGAGTTATGGCCCTTGTTTCCCTTTGTTGCACCTTACGACAAAAGTTATCAACCGATCTGTATGAAATTGATATGCATCATTTAAATTAGTGAAATGAAGTAGCCTATTGAATTTCAGCAATTTCCGTTAATTATGCCGTGAGTTATGGCCCTTGTTTCACTTTGTTGTACCTTGTAAATGCTCTTAAGACAAAAGTTATTATCCGATCTGTATGAAATTTATATGTATCATTTAAATTAGTAAAACGAACAAGCCTATTGAGTTTCAGTTATCACCTAAATTAGTGAAATGAAGACGAACAAGCCTATTGAATGTCAGCAATTTCCATCAATTACGTCTAGAGTTATGGCCCTTGATTTACTTTGTTGAACTTTGTGAACTTTCGAACAACAAAAGTTATCATCCGATCTGTATGAAATTCATATGCATTATTTGAATTATTAAAACAAAAAAAGCCTGTCGAATTTGAACAATTTCTGTAGATTGCTTCCAGAGTTACGGCCCTTGTTTTAGATTTTAAAACCTTGTGAACCTTCAAAATTATAATGTCATCTGTATGAAATTGTCTATTAAATTCCCCTAATTACCTACAAAAGAATAAATATGTGACAACCCTTGTCGACTGCTCGGACGATTTAGCTGCTGTGGGCGTATGTTTTGTTGCCTGGCAACCTATCTTTTGCCTTTTTTCAAAATATCGAGCATTATTTCGACTACTTCGACTACTTCCGGTAATTAAATCATTCTCATATTACAGTTTACAAATACATTTGGTCATAAAGAATTTGGTCATAAAGAATTCAACATTTTACACAATACGAATTTATTCATCGTGCTCTAATAATACAGAGTTTGTCTATTGGACGAACCAAAGTTGAGGTTTTGGTCTTCAGTTTGACACTTCTCACATGCCCTAGTTTATTTTGATAGATTTCAATTATCAAACCCATAAGCCACGATCCACGAGCATTATTGTCTACAATAAGCACCATATCACCAATTTTGAAGTTTCGCTTGGGTCTCAGCCACTTCTGTTTTGTTTGAAGCATTGGCAGGTACTCAGGAGCCCATCTCTTCCAAAACAGTTCTGCTAAATATTGGACTTGACACCATCTACGTTTAGAATATATGTCCTTTCACAAAACACACCTGGAGGAAAACTAGCAGTTGGTTTTAACAATAGCAAACTATTAGGAGTAATCACATCATAATCACTTTGGTCCTCTGATACTCGAGTCAAAGGTCGACTGTTGACAATTGATTCAACTTCACAAAGAAGAGTTCTCAACTGATCATCACTTTTGCAAGTTTTAATAAACTGTTCGTTCAAAATAGCATTCAATATCTTTCGTATAATGCGAATTTGTCTTTCCCAAACACCACCATGGTGTGAGGCAGCTGGGGGATTAAAATGCCACTTAAAGCTATACTTTACAGAAAATTTCTGCATTTCTTCTTGATTTAATTCCTGCAATGAAGTTTTAAGTTCTGTATTGGCTCCTACCAAATTTGTTCCATTGTCTGAGTATATTTCTTTACACGATCCGTGTCTCGCTATGAAATGACGAAGAGCACTAATACATGCACTTGTATCCATAGAGTCTGTCACTTCAATGTGAATAGCACGCGAGGAGAAACTTGTAAACACAACTCCATATCTCTTTCGCGTCACTCGCCCTACTTTCAATTCAAATGGGCCAAAATAGTCAATATCAACAGTAGTAAATGCTGGTTCATCAGCTTTTAATCTTGAATATGGTAAATCAGCCATTTTTTGTTCACCTACACGAGATTGTAGTTTTCTACATATGAAACATTTTTTCACATGACTTTTAATTAAAACACTTGCTCCTATGATCCAATAATTCTGTCTCAATTCCGCCAAGGTATGATTTCTGCCCTGGTGACATACCCTTTGATAGGCTGCCCCACCATAAATAAATATCTCCAAATATCTCGACAATTACACCATAATACTTATATATATACTAAGCTTAAAATCAGTTTCGCACAATTATAGTCACTAAATAAACGGTCATGTTGTACTTAATAAGATATGACCATTTAACCATCTATAAATAATACACTGAAAAATGGTTCGGAGTGTCGTCCATGACATCCAGACACTTTTTAGCAAAAAATAGGTTACGTGCCCTTGTTTTGAAATTAGTCCCACTTAACCAGTCTACCGACCATTCTCCGTCTGATTGACAGGCCGGGATAATCAAGACTACTTTTTTACGAAACATGACAGAAAGCTAGAACAAGAAATTGAA